GTTATCTCGTGCCATCATAAGAATTCTGCTGATTCTGTGCTTGCTCTTCAACACAAAAATACCAGGACGTGTTGGACAGGCAGAAATATTGGATAGTAGCCATCCCCGCACCCCAGTTCAAATATCCAGCTAAGAGTCACAACATAGGTCCCTAGGGAGACTCGTTAAAAGTGAACAGCCTACAAACTCCAGTCCGGCAGTCCTATTGGCTCAAGAGGATCATATGCAGGCAGCACATCGCACATCCTGCAAGCGGTCCAGCACCGCCTGACAGGCCAGTCAGAGGAGGCGGACGGCGGTTCCTGGGCGAATCCTACAGCAGAAGCGGTTGGCTGGCGGCGAGCAAGGCCACGTTGAAGACGCTAGACTGGGATCATCCAAATGGAGCGCGAAGACATGAGCCAATCATGGTTGTCGTTTGGTAGAGAGGGGATTAGTTCTCCATACCTGCGTGGTCTCGTGTTGTGGGATTAGATTGCTAGGTATGGTAGAGACGCATGCTTGATAATATCTATGTGCTTTATTAAGTCATGTATTGTGTTAATGACAATGGATGAATGGAGCAATTTAAATGAGACCAAAAGGATTGCAGTTGTTGACCTTATTCATCAGGCATCATTCAGACACGACACTTTCCTTACCTAGGCAGGTAAGGTCCCTTAGTCCATTTCATTGTTATTTTCTGGATCGTCCAATCAGCAATGTCTGCTCATACTTTGTTCTCCGTAGGCTAACTCAGTTTGGTTAGATTTTCTGCCAAGCGAGCCACTCAGCGTATGCATCTGACAATGCAACCACTGACTTGTCTCAACCCATCATCTCCCGCCCGACTGTCGGGAAATAATAATGAAATTCACTTTCCTTTAAGATTGCCTGGAACAACGCCTTTCAGGGAGCTCTTCCTTTCCTCTTCATCTCTACACTCTTTCTTCCCTCCTCCTGTTCATCATCTCCTTCTCCTCTTCCTCCCCATACATCTCCATCCATCTTCTCCATACATCCATTTAACCTAATCCATCTTCACTTCTTCCCCCCTTTTCGTCTTCTTCCCCAGCTTCTCTCTTCTGATTGATACTTCTTTGATTCTCGCCGTTTTGCATTAAGATTATCTTGTTCCCCAATCACAATTGGCTCCCTTCCTCTGTCTCCATCGAGCTTTGGTTACTGAACCCCGTCCAAGGGAAAAGGCGGGCGGAAAAAGAAACGAGAAAAACCAAAGCAGGTGACTGGCGCGTGTCAGGCCGATACCCGAACACACCTTGCGGAGTTCATCCTCTTCGCCCCCAACGCCCATTTCTGCCACCGCACTGTCGACCTTCTTCCTCCCTATTCTTCTTTCCCCCTCACGGCTGAGAGACAGACTCTATTTTTTTTTCTTGTGCGGGATACCAGGGCAAATAATAAAATCGTTTAATAGAGGGAAAAGCCAAAAAGTCTTACTTTTCTTTTCTGAAGGGAATTCTCCGCTTCGCGTCGACTTTTCTCTTCTTCCTTCTTCTCTGGCCGTCGCTTGTGTCAGAGCTTCTTTCCGCTTATCTCGCGTCAAGCGTCCAACACTGCTGGAGTTGCAGAGCACACTCCACGCGTTCATATTATCTTTCTTTCAGATCGGAAACTACTTGCTGGGTTCTTCTTCGACGACTTATTGACTAGCCTCTAATTGTCGCGTCTCTCACTGTCGGATCGCATCTGTCGTCACCGCCTTTCGCTTTCATGTCAGTTTTGAGCTAAGGCTTCACTTGTGATACATTAAGTTGCTCATTCGTTCTACGTTTGGGCATCATCTTGTTGCTGTCCTCGTTGGATCTAATCATTTACTCTCTTATCACTACTGGTTAGTTGCCTTGAGTTGGTATCTTAATTTGCTCATGCTAACACATTGTAGGTCCTGTCTACTGGCTCTTTTTCGAACAAAATCAAAATCACCAGCAGCTCTTTCCTCACAATCCGTCAATCTTTCCGAGGAAATTCAGCAGTGTTGCCTGATTACCTCCGTCCTGTGTCCCGTCGACATCATCCTAATAACGTAATTCCTCGAACGAAGCCATTTGTTAATTCACCGATCCACCTCTCTCCTGCCATTCGCGGCGTGTTGATACTACTCTTTTATTATCTCGTGCACATATTGTCTATATCCCATTTACACGAACCTTGAGTATGGACGCTGGCGGTCTTGCTCAAATGACTTACAATTCGTCATTCGGTAACGGCAACGGTCTCGGAGCTCCTGGTTCCGGGTTTGCTTCTCGGAGAAAAGGCTCCAACATCAAACGTTTGAACGTGCCTCCTCCACATATTTCTACCATCGATGAGTCCCAGCCTTCGGCGCCGGTTCCTCCTACCCCTCGTACTAGCCGGTCGCATCTTTTGGCGGGTCTGAGAACTGCTCCCAAATCCGCGACCCTGCCGTCTGCATCACAACGTCAGCAGCATCTTGGCCTGGAAACAGGACGATATGGAGCCCATACCAGTGGCGCAGCTGATCGTGTTCCGCAGACTGCGACGGGACCTGGTTTTCCCCGGCGTTCGTTTGCCGCCAATCAACATTTGGACATAGGAACTGGCCGGCCGATGTACACTCAGCCGGAACAGGTGCTTGCACCGCCTTCCATCGACATCGCGGGTGATATGCCGATGGACGAGAACCTTTACGCGGAACTGATGTCGACGAATCTCTTCCTGGCTGCCCAGCAGCAGCGCTTGCAGCAGCAGTTGATCAGCGTCACCGCTGCAGCACAGCAGTTTCAGGGCCTCAACCTTGGAGTGTCCATGGGGCAAGTCCCTGAAATGCCTTCTCTTTCCGTCCCCGCTATGGGCTTCTACCAGCAGCAGCTCCAGCAGGGTGTTCAGCCTGTTGTGCAGCCTGTACCTGGCCAACCGGGGCTATTTTCTGTTTATAATCCTCTAACTGGCCAGCACAATTATGTTTACGACAACAGCTATATGCAAGAGAATGCTTCCTCGCCCTACCGGGAAGAGGAGGATCCATCACCCGTTATGCAGACTCCGGCTTTCTATGCTGAGGTGTCTCCGCCTGCGGAATCAGTGCAGTCACCCTTGGAAAGGCAGCAGACGGTCTCACCCCCGAGAAGCAGCCCATCACCTCCTAAGGAGGTCACTCCTCTTCCACCCCCATCTGCCCACGCGTTCCGCCGGGGTCACAAGAAGAGTTCGTCCGTCAACCCAGCAGCAGGAGCCACGATTGACACTGCCCGAGCCAACAACGCTGCGGTCAACTCTACTGCTCCGAAGTCGGCTGTCTTCCCTTCCACACCAGCTACAGGCACCTTCGGGCCCGGACAAAACCGCGCTGGAGAGCATCCCGTTCGTCAACCCCGTAACCCTCCTTCCCTGGAAGAGCTCGTCGCCAAGCCGACCTCCAAGCACGAGGGGAGCAAGAATTTTGCCACTCGCCAGCGCCGACGTGCCATTCATAGTCTTGTGCGTGCGGGTATCGAACGACGTGGGGAGACCCGGAGCTTTGGATATACCAGCAGTGGTGGCACCAACACTCCGGCTAGTGAAAAAGATTTTGCATTCTCCGATGGCGACGATGCTACTGTTCGCAGTGGCAGCCTTTCGAGCAAGCCTAGCCTGGGCAGTTTGCGCGCTGTTGCCAACGGTGCCATTGGCTCTGAGCGCAAGGAGCGATCCTCACGGGAACGCAAGTCCCAGGACAGCCCTTATAACACGACTACCCCTGTCAGCGAAGATGGCAGTTTCTTCGGGGGCAAGTTTGCGGATCTCCGGGCGGAGCAAGTTTCATCGCCCCCAAGCGGCCCACCCTCTGTGGCTGCTGTCGTCGCAGGTCAGAAGACAGCAGCTCAGGCTCCTGAAAGGCGCAAGACGCCGATGCTCGTGCTTTCCAGCGCCGAAAAGCGCAAGACCTTGTTCATGTAATGTGGACGTCGTACATAATGTGACTTGAGACGTAACGGACTTGCCCCACTTTGAATGTCTTTCTTTTTGTCCTCTTGGTCTTCTTACCGTTCCTGTGGCCCAGGCTAATCTGGAATACCAACCGTCTTCAGGCGGTATTTTGATTATTATGATATTGGTGCCTTCGTTTCCTTGACTTGTCACACAGTGTTTGGAACGTCATGGACACCCAACCAACCGACACTTGTTCAGTTGAATGATGCATCAAGTCGAAGATGAATGACTCTCTTTCTCACTACCGTTTTGCGCCTTCTTTTTCATTCTTTTAATTATTCGAAGAGATTGACGAACACATGGAACAAGCATGCAGGGACATTCTTCCTTGCACTGAGACTCTGCTTGGCTTGATGTTTCATGTATCTCTCATTACCTGTATGTACATCTGGCTATGTGCATATCGATTCCATAGTAATGGACCAAGTATTTGTACAGACATATAGCTCTAACGAGCATCCCACACCCTTGCTCATAAACTAGGGACGTAGCAGCCTTTACACTAGAAACAGACGGAAAACCGTTACATCAGATTATTGATTGATCGCTATGTCGATATTGACTGCGCATTATCGATCGTGACTCATGAGCATCATCAGAAGAATAACTCCTCTCTTTAGAAATAATAAGTATATGATCAGCAATCATGACCACGACTTATGCTTTTGTTTCTTGCATATGATCAACTCGAATCAAATCAAATCGCCAACGGACATACTCGCTACCAACCCACTAACAATAATAACAAGAAAGAACAAAAGCCGCCGTGAATACCGTGTTCTCGCCATAAATCAATCAAGTCGATACCAATCCCGTACAGTCCGAAAAAAAACGCAATAGTACAAATGTTAGGGATATCCATCGAACCAAATCAAATCGAAACAAGCTGACGCGCATGGCAGGACAGGGTAGGGTAGAAAGGCAACGCTAATAAACAGATGAGATGAAAATGAGACACGGGATGAATGCGAATGGATGGTGTATGTATGCGGCGTATGCGAGGGGGTGCTTTTGGGGACAAGATGCAGGAGGTGCAGGAGGTGAGAGATGGTTTGGATGAGGCGCAGCTAGAAACTGAACAGGCCGCTCCGTTTCTTGCCGAGCGGGTAGACGACCAGCGCGGCGAGGAACAGGCCTACCGTGAAGCCGATGGCGACCTGGACCATGCCGTAGCCGATGTCGAAGACGACGCCGTGGAACTGGTCGTCGATGTTGGTCATATTGCGGGCTGCGTCGACGAAGCCCTGCGTACCGTTGGAGATGACGGCGTAGGGCGAGTTGGAGGTTGTGATGGACTGGGCGGAGGCGATGCCTGAGATTAGGGAGCCGCTGGCGGCAAGGCCGGAGGGAACGAGCACGAAGATGGCGGGGAGCATGGCTGCGGCTGCGAGGCCGTGGCGGAGGCGGCTGTAGAGGTTGCCTAGGACGCCGATGACGAAGGCGCCGAGGGCGGAGGAGACCTGCGTGCTGGAGGCGAAGCGCTTGGAGCCGAAGTAGTTGGTGACGTAGCCGGCGAAGGCGATGAGGAGCATGACGGGGATCTGGCGCCATTTGGCCTGGTTGACGAGCGCGAGGCAGAGAGTGAAAAGGATGACGAAGGGGAAGTGCTGCAGGTACTCGTTGCTGATCGGGCTCGCGGGGCAGGTGTACTCAGTCGAGGCGTCCGAGTCCAGCAGGCCGTACACGGCGGTGCCGATGGTGATGCCGAAACCGAGGAACATCGAGTAGATGATGGCGTAGACCATGCGCACGGAGCCAGCGACGATGCTGCGCGATTGCAGTTCCAGACTGKCGCACAGCACCATGTACCCGGGCAGAATCAGCGCGATCGACGATTGCGCCAGGGCCGAAAAGCAGAACAGGCGTTCGCCTTCGTACCGGATGCTGCCAAAGGCCCTGGCCAGGAAGGAGGTCAGCACCGCCGCCGATATCTCAAATACATTCGAGTACAGGTTCGAACGCGGGGACAGGACCAGTTGCAGGACGCCCAGGAGGCATCCGAGCAGAAAGGCAATCGGCAGGTCGATCGGCCGGGCGTTGAAGGCAAACGGCCCCACGGACGCCGAAGCAAACCCGTGGACCAGGATGAGCATCCACAAGGAATACTTGTTCTTCTTCTTCATGATCTCCTCCAGACGCTGGATGGCTTCCTCCACGCCAATCACGTCGTGAATGACCTCCTTATAGACAATATGTACATCGGAAAGCTTGCCCAGGTCGACTCCCTGGGCCGATCGGACCACCTTGACCTCGGTGGTGTGCGTGGACGCGTCGTCAAAGGAGATGATCATACAGCCGGGTATGTACAGGAACTGGCCGTCGATCTCCAGGACGCGAGCAGTCATGGTCATGTATTCCTCAAGACGATGGGTCGGAGCACCGTACTTCATCAGTGCCCGGCACAGTCGGATGAGATACCGCTGGCGCGAGAGCAGCTCAGCGATATGGACGGTGATGCGGATCTCATCCTCCAGCCGGGGTTTGGTCCAGCGTTTGCCGCCCGTGCCGGGGATGGGACCACTACTCCGCGAGCGCTTGAGCATCGCAATGGGCGAGCTGGACGAGTTCTTCGCCGTCGAGCCGGACAGGGAGGTGCTGGATTGGCTTGGGGATTTTTCGTACCACTTCCGTTGACGCTGGGGTTGTTTCCAGCCAGGGTCCGGCGAGAGGCCCCGGCTGCTGACCTCCCCTAGACTGCTCTGGCGTGAGTGGCCATATCGGCCGCGGGAATACTGGCTGCTGCCCGACGACTGGTCATATAGCTTGAGGAGGGACGAGAGGATGCCCCCCCGGTAATGGGTCGGCCGCTCGACATAGGCGTCGGGATCTCTCTCTTCGATGGGGGTGACCTGTCCGGAGCGGAGTCCTGGGGACGGTGCGCGGATCCGGGTCAGAAAGTTAAAGTCTTTACGAGTCATTTGTCGCACGAGCTGATGGGCCTCTGAGGTTCGGGTCAATGTTCGTCCATCGACGAGGCCGTCTTCATCCTCGTCGGGAAAGTCGTCGTAGAAATGTTTCTCGGAAAGATTGATCATAGGAATGTCACTACCATCTTCTGACGGCGGCACCACCTCTGTGGGAGTCGATGCGACAGATGACGGCAGGCTCGATCGGGGGCTTGGCCGGGGAGATTTCGAAGTACGTCCCAGAAGGGACGCCAGTCGCTGAGCTCGCTCCTGAGCAAACTGAAAGGCTCTCCCTTTCTCTCCGCTGATCTCATAGTCCCTTGGGATCTCCAACGAGCTCGCTTGGGAGTGGACAGCGAGGCCCGTGACACCTGCAGCGGCGTTGGAACCCGGATCCACCGGAGAAAATGAATGGGGAGCTCTCTCTGCAGCTGGAATGCTGGCGGCAGGCAATGGTCGCTGAGGGAGTGACGAGCCCCTTCCGTCAAAACGGGTCTCTGACGTCGATCCCGCTGCAGGAGCCTCGAGCAAGCCAGCCTCGCTGACGGTGAACTTGACGCGATTCGCACTTTTCAAAATTCCTGCATTCCGATGTCTACCCTGGGTGTTGATAGGGTCCAGCGGTTTTCCCTGATGTGAGATCTCATTGGGAGTCACAAGAGGAGAAGTACGCGGCCCTGGGGCAGATCTGCTCGCATTATGATATTCATCAGTAAGGCTTGAACGCCGGGACGAGGATATCGGTAGATCGAAATAACCGCCGGCCATATCTGTAAAGGCCTTTCTTTACACGACTGACGGATTGCGCAGAGACACACACCCGGACTCTCAGGACTGTCTGTGCTACCTCTGGATTCCTTTTTGTCTTTCACAAGTTGTGCACCCTCCTCCCCCTTTTCTTTTTTTTTATTCCGATGATTTGCTGCTTCTTGCTGAATTAAATATTAAATTAGATAAGTATTATTATCTTTGTTTTCTGCTATCCCCCTTTGCTTGTGAAGTAGCAGCGGGAAGGACGTGCAAGGTGTATTTGCGTAGCCTGGCAACCGGGTCAGATATGCACTCGCATCACAAGGTGATCAATGCCAAGATCAGAAATAAGTACCGAGACACACCTCGCAGACTTTGTGCCAGAGCCCGAAGACGATGGAGGGCACAGATGATAAGATCTTGGGATCGTAGCAGGAGCTTGAACTCAACCACTTAGTGGGATGGAAGGGGGTGAAGATCCCGCTACCAAGAATGCAAGTACGTCACGAATACATGGTCGAAAGATGAAATATGAATAAGCCTGCAGGGGCCAGGCGAGAAAGAGTACGACAGCTGCAGGCGATCAAAAGAGAGGGGGGAGGCGAATGCAAAGACAGAGGAGAGATGATGCACAGAGGTACACACACTCGGCGAGGGAAAATAGGGAGAACCAGGTAATGATGGGGAAATGACGAAGCGAGGATGAGAGAGGCAATTAAAAGAGAAGATTTCGAAAAATTATGGAATCAAAAATCAAAATAGAAAAAGGATCTGAGGTTGTCTGTGTGAGGATGTGGATGGAAGCAGCCGAATTCAGCCAGCGCAATGAAGCGAATGCGGATAGGGACAGGAGAAAAAGGCTATTGATCAACAGCGAACTTCCTCAGCACCGTAGTCATATGGAAAAAATGACCAATTAGTCTCGACCCTTTTCTGGTTTTGTGTAGCAAGATGATGTCTGTGGGGATGAAGAAAAATACTGTGTGATTTTCCTTTTCAAGTAACTGACGTGAGGCGAGGGAGGAAGGAGGAGATTTGTATCGGAAGCTTTGCCACAACACCGTGGAAGGAATAATAGGAGGACAGCAGATAAGAAGGGAATTGAGAGATGATAAATTGTCTGATGGGGCAGTTTTGGTCTGATTCTAGAAGGAAGAGACAATAGCAATGGTGTGCTTGGAGAGAAGAATATCACAACGCATCGCCGAGACCAGCCAGAGGATTTTTGAAAACATAAAGGCACTTGTTAATTCATGGTAATAATGGTAACGGCTTTGACTTTCCATCCTCCTCCAATGATGAATTTGATTTAATGAATTAACAATTTAAAAAAGGAAAACAAAAAGAAGGGACATAATAACAGATGGTGACACCCAGCCGCCAGAAGACCTAGACCATTAGAACGGCGTTGCAAGCATAAGCATAGATAGAACTACTCCATAAACTAGACAGATAGTAAGGCCAACGACTAATCTGGTTCCACCGGATCCATGAGAATGTACCACAGTGGCCTAAAAATCAAGTCGCTGGGACCGAAGAAAGGGTCAGAGTCACATTGGCTTGTGCTTTGCGCAGTCAGGCCTCAGGAGTACACGGCCTGTACTCCTAAGGTACAGTCGATCAACCTGAAGCAAAGCCAGCAAAGCTCCATTCTGAAATATCCGTTTTCAAAATTGATATTTCAGAATTCAGAGGCATATCTACCATGCAGAGACAAATTCTGCTATAGATAGTCCTAAATCCAGAGTCAGAGCAGCCACAAGCCAGCGTCTAGAAAAGGAGAAGGGTATTTTCCGTTGTTTTTGTCTTCTCTTCTTTTTACGTTTATCATCACGGTGTGGAACAGTGGGAGGCAAAAAAAAGCCGGCGATGTGGATCATCCGAAGACTGATAGACACTTATCTATATCAGCAACTGTTTAGCGCCCGAACGGGACCGTCGTCTAGAACTCCTGAGACCAAACGGGGAACTGGGAAGTTGGAAGTGGGAAGTTTGGAACTGGGCTCGGGGGGGAAGACGGATGAGAACCAGGCTAGGCGACAATCCGTGGTTCTTGGGACGAAAGCAATGAGAATGTGCGAATAGGAGGTGTTGTTGCCATCACGTCAGGTCAGGGACAACTATCGGCAACCCGATGGCCGATAGGAAGCCACGGGATTGACTGTGATAGGATGAAGCAAGGAAGGACATGATTTTCCAGCTTGAGGATGGTCAAGAAAGACAGATGGGCATTGGACACCATCGACAGGAGGCGAGAGTTCAGTTTTTCCCAAGTGGGGTGCGAGGATTGCATGGTGGGGCCCTACAATAGACTCATAGCGTCAGGTCTTAACTTCTAAGGTACCTGGTAACCTTGTAACTAAACACTAAGGTAGGTATGAGTTCCATGATACCAAGTGATAACTGATAAGAAGGCATGAAGATTACGAAGCTTCTGGAGACGTCAGGAATGACGAAACCGAGATTCATTCTTCACATGGACAAGTGAGGTCGAGAGTAAGTGGTCGTGCTGGCTTGCTGCAGCTGCATGTCAAATAATAAATAAAAATGCGGTTAGTTATGCAATCAGCCCAGCACATCCTCCCGACTGCTGTAGTCCAACCCCTTGGCAGTGGTCCCCTGATGATCATCCATTTCTCTAGTAGTTTCTGGCATGGAAGGAGCTATGACTTTTTCTGTCTATAGCTCAAGTGCTAACTGCTAACCTTCCTAGCACTGCAGTGGTGACTGCTAGCTATACCAATGCCCAATCTCCACTCCAAGGAGCTTGAAGAATGTTTACTCTGTAGATGTTTCCCAAAACAAAGTGAAACGTACGTATGCCTCCCAAGTCGTTGTATCAATCTCAACCGACTCCTTACTTCGCTCGCGGAAGTGGCTTGCAGCCAACCCTCCGAAGGATCGACCATGATACATCTCCACTAACCAGTAATGCGTACGCAGTCCAAGCAAGGCTCTCACTCCTCCTGATTCCAGAAACCTGACGAAAGAACCTGATCTGTGCGATTCCAGCCACGATGTTTGCTCCAGGCAACACCTATTGACTGCAGTCTGAGCCCCTTTCATGATGTCAACGGGATGCACCGTGCCTCAAGTCTGGATGATTGCGCGGCGGGGTGTTACACAGCCTCTTGGTAGGTAGGCAGTCAGGTTTGATCCTTTTCCTGTTTAAGGAGTTTGACGACGACTTTCTTGCGCTTTCTTCTGCTTCGATTTATGCAGTGGCTGGATCATATGCACTCTCCTACTCTGTGTCTTGGAACAAGAAGATAATACCTTGGCAATTCACGCCCCCATTCTCACCACGACATGTGCAGGATGGTCAACTCAAGCCGGTACCGTTCCAGTATCACCAGGAGGACGGCTGCCGAGGATGACTGTACCACCTGCGCAGACGCAGGGACCAATATTTGATCCTCATTTAGTTGTTGCTGGGAGAGGGGGAAACGGCGGCAAGAGAAGGAGGACTCTTGTGACAGAGTCACACCGGGGATGGATCGCTTCCGACCCGGACGGATACTGAGACTTGGTCACTGCGTGCGTGCATCAAGTACAGGGCGGCAAAGCAAATATGACAAGGTACCGGTTGCCATTTGACTGAAAGGGGAGCACGAGGTAAATGCCCGTTGTTGAAGTGATGAAGTAGATATGAGCGTACAGTCGAGGAGTTGAGGACGAGGACTCATGAAACTGCTATTTCTGGATTGGGCGGTGGATCCGAGCTCTCGGGTGATATGAGAAAATCCTCAGCGTGGCAAGATGATTGGCGACTGCTGAAGAGCTTAAATTGCCCAGTCTCCCTGATTTATCCAGAAGCAAGAAAAAATATCATAAGCGCTAAGTACCTAGTTAAACTTACCCTGATAAAATCACAGCAAATTTCTTTCCGAAGCATGCTCAGTCAGACTCAAGAAAACAGACAGCACTACGCTGCATTCAGCAACATCCTTGAAGAAACTCGACGGTCGGATCCACTGTACTCTGTGCTGCTAGCGCTAGGCTCTACGGCCTACGCAGCGCTGAGAGGAGTTAATACAGCAGGTCAAGCGAGTTCTATCATAATAGATCCAGTCATCGGCACTTCTAGATCTTCGTCTGCCCCATAGGCTCTGTTCCTCTGGTCATGCGGATGGCAGATCTTACCACTGGTCTAGCTTAACTAACTGCCTACTGCTTACAGCTGACGACAAGTCCGGAAGATTGGCAAGAAAAATATGATTATCACATGGCAGGCTAGACCAGACCCGCACCGTTCGCCGTGTTCTAGAAGGTAGACTATAGTAGATATCCAAGACAGTAATACTACCTTAGTTCTGGCACATGAATACATCTTATCTGAGAATTATTATTACTTTTCAAGCACATGAATATTACTCCCCGGCCCGGAGAGGAGATGGAGGATACTAGAAATAAGAGTATATATAAATACACAGCATGACCACCAACCCCTCCCACGTGGAAACAGCATATATGTATGAGATAGCATCCTGCATGTTTAATTGGATCCTCGGAGGATTAGCCACTTCCTTTGACTGGTAAAACAAGCTGAAGAGTCGGTCAAGCCGAACTGCTTGACTCCTCTACTGGTATCTGCTCCGTAGAGTAGTGTATACTACGTAGCACCGAGCTTGGACCACACACCCTCCTCTACCTTACATGACAGGAAGACCAAACAGGACAAGAAGAATTGAATTGCTGCCCAATGAAGCCTGAGCTTGAGTCTGGACCCGATGACCGAAGGCCCCGACCATTCAGTATGGATACTCTGTGTGCGCTAGAAGTACCCACGCCAGGTCGGTAGTCAGGGCATATACTATGGTAGACTCCTAGAATGGGATTGTTAATAATGCGTCTAGTGTGTGGGATATGGAATAGTGGAATCATTATATCTGCTGATATACTCTGTAGTATCAGGTAGATTATGCTGTCATTACCTGCCGCGGTATCAATTGATAGATGATGCGGCATGGATATATTTCAATTTCGTGGCGATAACGCAGGAGCCCTGGTATTATATGAACGACTACATGTGATTGACGTAGTCTAAGGTCATGCTCATGTACCGAGTCAATTGCGCTAAGCGCACTATGTTTGTACTTGTTCTTGTAGTCTCAGGACTACACAGCATCGTATCCATCATCCGCAATCAATCAAATCATAACACCTCAACTCCATTGCTTGCATCCCAACCAAAAAGTAAAAGTGACTGCCCTGCTCGTGGCCGCTCGACTATACATAGACACGAAAATGGAAATAATCATCGGCCAGGAGATCCTCCTGTACGATACTCAACGAGTGTTTTGACGGACAACAATTGATCATCGTCGCTCCACACGGCTGAGAGCGCCGAGAATCACTCCCAGATCCTCCCTTGGTTTTCCGTGCCGGAGGCTCACACGTATGCCTTCAGCTTCGCCTCCCTCAATTGCAAGTCGCCTCATCGCATTCCTGGCATCGCGCTCTTCCAGTCGTTCCGCACAGATGCGTAGCACCCGTGTCGAGACCGTGTCCGACATGGCGCGATATAGCTCAATGTCGTGCACGCCAGCTGCGAACGAGTCTAGAGTTGGTGCTAAGCCTGATGCCACTCGGGATAGACGGGCAGATACAACCGATGGCGGCATTGGTGGTAGATGGGTCGACTGCGTAGTGGTCGATGGCTGCGATTGCGATTTTCGTCGTGCCTTTGCTGTGCCGGGATTCAACATGGCATAGATCTCCTGCTGCGAAGGCTCTAATAACGAGGTATCTATCCTCTCTGGCTGCACCGGCAATAATGATCGAGTCGGTTGATCGGCCGATTCGGCTTGTGATGGGCCCTGAACCTGAGGTGTATCTGACGGTTGCTTTGATTCAGGCTTTAGTCGTGGAATAGATGGAGGTCGTAAAAGTTCATTCAAGGAATGCCTCTCCCTTTGCAACCTGTTGTCGAGTGTCATTTATGTGTTCTTTAAACCATGTCTAGCAACATACCTTTGTATTTGCTCCTCAAGCTCCCTGATCTTGTCCGCGTTTTGGACGTTTTTCGGGTTCGGTTTCTTCACCACAACAGCAGGCGGATTCACATCCTCCCGCCCAAACCAATTCGAGAGCTCCGAATTCGTTGAAAAGTCCTTGAGCAGTTCTTCTTGTATTACTCGAGCTATAACATGTTAGCCTGACCTTTTTGGTTTGAAAAGGAACCTGAAATACCAGCTAGACGAGCACTGGCATCTTCCGGCGCTCCTGTAGGTTTATCTCCCATTGCTCGTGTGGCGCACCAAGTCAAAAGCTGCCTCATCCTCCGCGGCTCTGGCAGCCCATCTGCAATATGCTTGTAGAAATCGGCCGTGTCGACCTCTTTATGAGGCAACGCTAAAAGGTAATCAGTACGACAGTCTTCAACGCAAATGCAACAAGAATAACCCTACCGTTGGATGCCCCAGAATCAATCAGTGAACTGGCCCGCCTTCCTCTCATCCCCAGGCTACTCCGCCTTCCCTTCCCTCCTTTTTCCGATTTGGTCTCTTTTCGCATCTCCTTGTTTCGCTGGATCACAGGCGTATCGGCTAGAGGCAACGCAATCTTCGCAGTACCGGACTGCTGTGGTTCAGGCGACACAAAGCCGTTCCTCGCCTCGACTTCCGTCTTGCTCGGTCTGCCTTTCCGTCGCTTCTTCTCCTTGGGCACAGATTCCGTCTCCTCGCGCTTCCGCGTCGATGAACGTGTAGCACTCTGCGGTTGGGGTTCTGACTCTGGAGCCGCGGATCTCCTGTGTCGCGTCTGCCTCTTGCCTGACACTTCCGCACTCTTCTCCGTGTGCTCCCCGCTTTCTTCCGGCTCTGTTTCTGTCTTCTTCTTCTTCGGCGGTCGACCTCGCCTAGGCGATTGCTGTGGCGGTACCTCAGGGACGGGGCTCAGGTTCTCCGGGGCAGCATCAACCGACGACCTCGGTTTCTTGTTGGGCAGTCGCGTAAACTGGAATCCCTCAATATCCTCATCATACGATACTAGTAGCGGGCAAAAAGATGAAAGTTAGCCAAAACACCCACAACCCCTCATTCACTATTCACCAACTCCCGGGCTCTCCAGCCAGCCCAACCCGCGCAAACTGAAACCACTCACCAGCCTTCCTCTTCCCCCACCCGCCATTCACATTAACCTCCTCCTCCCCTGTTTCCTGCCCCTTGTTCAATCGCGCGCTCGATCGTCCGCCCCTCCCCCTGCCACTCCCGCTCGCGCCGCCAGACGCCGAACGCGTCTGCGCCTGGGACGCAGCCATATCAATCTCCCGTAGCGGTTCGCGCTCTCTCGTTCTAGTCTTGATCTTGGTCTTAGTCTTGGGGGCGGCGAGAACCGTGACGGTCATGTCAGGGCCGGGGTCGTATGTTGTGACGTAGATGCAAGTGAATGGATTAGATCCTGTCTCTTCCGTAGTGTGGGACACTGCTCCGGCGCCGGATGTACCAAAGCTCGATGAGATTAGACTATCACTCCCACCCCGCGCGTGTAATCCAGTCCGATATGTTGTTTGTTCGACCTCCGCCGATCTTCCCACCGGCCGCTGCGCAACGAGACAACGATGGTCCAATTCAATTCGATTGAGTATCCGAGTAATAGCAAAAGCAGGTTCGCTTGCTGAATCGACTAGGATCCGAAGCGATTGCACGGTCGCAGGTTGCCAGGTCGAGCGGGCGGTGTTTCTGGGTTCGTTGGTATGTGTCGGTCGCAAATCTATCTGGCCCTTGCCGTACGTTCGCGATTGACGGCGACTGTGGAGCAGACTAGACCGACTTCATTGATTGTCTGGTGAAAGTTGCAAAATGCGTGCTTGCGCAGCTGGAGCATCAACATCGGCGTCGGGGTGACGGGGTTTCTGCTCTTGCAAGTCGCTGCAGCACGCGGTTGTTTTGGTCGTGGCGCGTGGAGGACGGCGCTAAGCTGTTTTCGGAGCGACACTTCCTGGCAGTTGAACCCTTCTTCGAAGCATGTCAATTTTATTAACAATTCAAGTTAACAATACTTTATTGTTGAATGAAACGGACTAAGAAGGTATGAGTTATCTATGTACGTAACGGAGTTTATTGATGCACCGTCTGAGACATCCCTTGGCTGCGTCTATTATGTCCAATGCAACACTATTCAACATGTACAAACTCTGCCAGACGGAGAACTTCAAATGCTAGTGAATGCTGAGATGATAGGCCCCAGGCCTCTTTAAGAATAATACTGCAAGCGCTCTCAAGTGAAAGGGTGAAAGAGAAACAAATCGATCATGGCATTGCGGAATCCTGAGTCGGAGGGGCCAGGCTCCCTTCTATTCTACGTTTGGCGTCTTGCTTCTCCTCATTGCTGACGTCTTCGGTTCGCTTGGGCATGTCGGGCTCGAACTGAGGGATTTCGGGGCTGTGGCCAACAGACATTCCTACTCGGATCTGAATACGGCAGGTTTCAATTAGCGAGGGCCGGCAAATATAAAGATCAGGAATTGGCACGGGAATTTTGCTCACCAAAGTCTCCAAAGCACCCCTAGAATTATCGACCAGGTCACTATCAAACTTCATCACGCCTTCCTCGAAGAGGAGCAGCAGAGTACTTCCGCCAAATTTGAAGTATCCAAGCTCCTCACCACGGTTGACCTTCTCGCCTGTCTTCCGAGTGATCACCGTGCTTCCGACCATCATGGCTCCCACACAGACCACCATAACCCGGCCGTGGGCGACCGAGTCAATCGGTACAAGAACTCTTACGTTCTCACCGTACACATCTAGTGCAGAACGGATCGCCATCGGGTTCACTGTGTAGTACTCGCCCTCGATAGTCTTGGGGGTACCCATAACACCGTCAACGGGAATATGGAAACGATGATAGTCCTGAGGAGCCAGACGGAAGATTCCCAATGCTCCATTCTTGTAGCGCGGAGCGTCCTCCGGGTACGCGTCTCCGAGAAGCCTCTCAATGGAGAACTCCCTGCCCTTGACCCAGATACTGGTCGCCTCGTCGATGCGGTCGAAAACAACCGATCGGCAGTCAGCAGGCGATACGATGATTCTCGGCTCATTCGGAGCTGAACAAGGGCGTGCCCCAGGCTTCAGTTGCCGGTAAAAGAACTCATTAAATGTCTTGAATTGTTCAAGGGGTAGCAGAACCTCTGACAGGTCAAGCTGATGGAAGTTGATGAAGTCCCGGATCTGAGCTGCGGAAGCTGGATCATCATATTTCTTACCCTGTTTGATGCTCAGCGACTTGAGAATCTTACGAACTGTAGTTTGGTCAACCTTCAATTCTTCCCGGCGTGTTTCTTTTGACAGTAACTTACTTCGCTTCTTCTCCATTTCCCGGCTCTTGAGGCCTCTGTAAAGGAGCCGAATACCCAGGCGTACGTAAACGCTCATTCGTTCCTCGTTGATCTGCCCTGTAACTCGATCTTGAACAAGGATATTGGCGGAATTTGCGCCTAGCTTGTAGCCACCGTAAGATATCTTCGTGATAACTTTGGAGTACCACTTGCGTTGCGCCTGGCTGGAAGTGACAAAGCCACCCATCACAAGGTTGTCAACCTGCCGCCAGTCATGACTTGCACATGTAGCAATGTGGGTGATAATGTCCGCATCGGAGCGCTTGCCGAGCCGCGGTTGGTGGCACAGAGGACACTCCCGAATCTCAATAACATGCTCTTCACCCCGCTCATCACCAAGATCATTGGGATAGAGATCTTCCTCGCTTGTGGATGTTTGCTCTTCCTGGCCTAGTGTCGGTACGGATGTTGTGCCAGGATGAGTATTGGCGGGCAGTGTTGTGCTCGTCTCTAGGGGGTACTCGTCACCGTCAGATTGCTCTTCGCTTCTTTGACTGCCATTTGAGGACGGGGTCAGAGATTGCATGTTGGCATGGGCGTGAGGGACCTTTTGCAGCGCCTGCAGTGTATCCTCCAGACACATTACAACTTCGTCGAAACTCAGATCCACAGTCTCCACGGGTTCGTTTCCGGCACTGAATCGTTGGAAAAAACTGTCGATCGTAGACTCTTTCAGGGTCGAGCCGAGAGTGTCAAGCATCGTTGTCAACTCGACCTTGTCGATTCGACCACTCTCGTCAGCGTCATATTGTTTGAGCATGAGTCTCCAGAATTGCTGACGAAGCGCACGGTAGGGCATATATTTCGCTTTCACGATAAGCTCTGGAAAGTGCTTGTCCTCCCACCGCTCCTTGTTCTTTAGTATCAAAGGGATCTTGTACATTTGAAAGTCATGCGAGTCCATCTGACCCACTTCGCCTCCAGTAGCAGTAGGAGCGCTAGAAACATTGCTGCTGCTTTCTCTTCCCTCCGGGACGCTGGTCGGCGGAGGGATAGCTGGCTGCTCTAATTGAGACTGCGTAGACAGGGAGGCAGCAGAGCTTCTCGACCTTACTAAACTGGGCCGTGACATTTTTGGAAGACTGTGAGTCGATGGTGAAGGGCTGACACCAGACTTGGCTCCTGATTTACTGACAGAGCTTGTATCAGAACCTGCTGGGCTAAGTGATGGATCACGGAGCCGATAGAGCCCCGTTTCCGGATCTGCCTCAGGAGCAGCCTGGATCAAGGTCTGTAGCGGAAACCCAGCCGATGCCACAAAGTCATTACCGGAAAACTTATCTCGATCCATGACAGTAAAGCTTATCGTATAGGCCTGTTCATGTTTCATGACCTGGAAGACCATCTTTTCGTTGTAGACAGGGTTAAGGTTGTGACGAACGACGGGAGTCCTGAGCGTTTTCCGTCCAAGCGAGGTCACAACAAATGGATCCATGTCAAAGGAAGTACGTGTCACTTATCTAAATCAGCAATCGAGTTTAAACCACGGGAGGTCGAGCGACATACCGTTCCGTTCCGGCGGAAGATCTGTTACCTTCACAATCTCCATGAACACGATACCCTGCACTCCATTGCCGGCCCCAGAAAATTGGTACGCCCGAGCTGCTAGTGACTTCCGTTTCAAGCGAGCGAGCCGGAGCCGTCTCCTCCTCTTTTCGACAATCTCTGGTTTCGTCAGGTCGTCGGTCTCGTCCGAGGTCTCCTCGTCCCTGTCGGCATCATCCGATTCGTTTGTCGGGATTTGCGGGAGGTCCTCATCTTCCTCGCCAGCGCAAACCAAGCTCTTGAACCTTTGGTATATCTCACTCGGGGGTGCCGATACGTTCGTCGGGTCAATCAGCGCAAACTGAAGGAGGATCTCTCCAGACACGTTGCTGTCTTTCTTCTTGGTTGGTTTCCGCTTCGACTTGAGTGTATACCATTTGGGCTTCACAGACGATCAGCTGGTGGCCATGCTCTAAGCTAATATATCCTCCTTACTCACCGGCTGATTGATTTCGCCATCGGCGAAGATGTCTTCGAGGGGGATGTCAAACTCGCCCATGTAATCTTTCCCGAATCTGTCATGATCCCAGCAGATAAACTCCAGCAAAGGTACACCGACCACCGGCATCTCGAAAGTCACGTTCCATTCCGGGTTTAACGTCTTCGGTATTGTGGGGGTCGATTGTCTTGAGTCTCCGAGTGTAACAACTAGATACTAAATACGCAATCTGATCAGCCCTATCCTCAGTTGTGGCATCCATTGACAAAGCTCACCGGATCGCTGGTTCCACTTCGGTCTTTAGCAGCAAGGTTTCTGCCCTGATGTTGTTCAAATTGAGATGTTAGCTTCCGGAAGTGGCATTCAACGGAGCTCAGCGGAAGTTCCGGGCTCGAGAAGAGGTCCGCTCACCCTAATTGCAGAAACCTTAAGGACCAACGGCCTTGTCTCAGTTGTTCTCATCGGGCTTGTGCTTCTGCTCTGACCTGGAGTCGAAGCATTGCTCTTCACGCTGAGATGGGAGCTGAGACGTTGAGGCAATGGTAACCGCACCATGGTGGATGGCGGAAATTGCGGGGGAGCTGCTTAGGATGGAAGCTGGAGGACACGTCGCGTCGACCCCAAGAATATTCTAATGCCTGAGAGGAGATGATATCTAGGATATTGTAACAATGATAACGGGGAGGGATCCTAGAAAGAATGACGATATAATGAGTCGCAAATGGGGTGTTCCAKGACCGTCCACCGACCGGAGGATGTCGCGGTGTGGTTGAATCCGGATTGATCTAAGATCTGGTCGGGTCGATCAGAGTTCCGTTCACACCAAGAAACGGGAGCCACCACAAAAGTGCATAATATGTATGTTAGATTGCGAAGGACGAATAAGGATGAAAATCCTGACGAGAATGTAATTGAAGTTCTTGACACCTTGATCTAAGGGAGTCAAGATGAATACGAGAAGAAAAGAAAGAAGAAAGAAGGTTGATGAGAGCGTGAATAGGGGATTGATACACTACCTCGAAAAAATAAGGGAACAACAATAAATACCAGGACTGTTAGTACGGAGAGTACTACTCTGTATGTTTCTGTTTCTTGGTGGGGTCTTGAGCCATTCTCTTTTAGCTGACCGTCGCACTGAGGCGTAGAAAGAGGATCTATCTAACGGATAAATATTTAGAATTGTAAAATCGAGCTTCGAGGAAAAAGGATTCACAATTGCCGTTTGTCGAGTAAATCCGATTAATCATCATTTTATTTTGCAAGCCGTGAAGCTGAAATATACCTACATACCTCKAGCCTGCCGGAAGACTCGGGGTTACGCTTTAAAGGGTTACGCTTTAAGACGTCAAGGTCAAACACAAAACAGGCAAAGTGATAGAAAGTGACAGAAGGAAGAGCTGTGGGAAGATCAAACAATTGATCCACCCACAGCGAAACAAGCACTGGGCAATCAACAAGTCGGGACCCCACCACGACCGTTGCTGTCGAGCAATGAGGAATTGAGGCTATTCTTGAATATGGCTGCCTACTTCTCTTCCATCATCTCATGTTTAAAGAGGCAAACTTTCAGACACCCCTCCTATGCATGCTAGGGTGCACCAGTGCAACATACTCAAGTCGCTTGACGTCTTTTTGCATGACTAGTCAACCTCTTTCTTCCACGAGACCGACTCCCACCTTTCCCCTCATGGATCAGTGACGGATCAGTGGGGTTATAGGTACCCATACAGTCTCTCTGGCTCGGTGGAGTTGTTCCTGTCAGTATGACCCTGCGCACCACATTTTGAACTTTACGCAGTACATAGTATACCTTATCGTTTGGTCTTGTTTATCACTGGTTTTACAGCCATCCCAAAGTCAACTAGGGAACTCAGCACAGTTGAGACGCAATAAGGCGGGGTTACTGMCGCCACACCAAAGGTAGCTTCAATAGCCTTTTGGTAAGCTCCGCACCAAAGAGCATCAATCATAGTAGAACTAAATGCGGACGATTTCCCAATATGACGCAAGTATTTTCAGCCTAGACATTGCCTCGGTCCGTTCTGAACCGGTGCATGACAATGAAATGGGTATACAGATTTAATGTGTCGATTCCTTGCTAAAGTAAAAGAGGACTCAGAGGTAACTACCAAATAGAGGAAACAGAAAGGCCTTAGTCTCTCCGTCTCGCGTCTTCCCTTCCCCAGACCTCATCAGCGCTGGCCTTGCCCTTGGTCTCAGGTACCCATCCGTAGATGAAGCCTCCAAGAAGGCAAGCCAGTACCGCAAAAATCCAGTAGATCTTACCACGGCCGCCCAACGCGTCGTTGAGCACGGGGAAGAACTGAGCCACGATGAAAGTGGCGGTCCAGTTGGCCGCCAGCGCCCAGCTCTGCGTCGCACCCACAGCCTCGGGACCGACTAGTTCAGAGGCCAAGATAAAAGGTACCGGACCTAATCCAACCGCGAAGCTGGCCACAAATAACAAGGCTGCTATTGCGGACAAGATTTTCTGGTTGAAATAGATTCCGAGCGCCAGCAAGACAGAGTTGCAGCCCATGCCGCAGATGCTCAGAAGAAGGCAGGTCTTTCGGCCAATCTTATCAGGCAAAGGTGAGCAGGCAAGAGTAATAATCAGGTTGATGGCCGAAATCATCACGGTCAACAAAGCCGCTGCCGTGGGAAGGAGACTCTGTAGAAGCGAGACACTATACATGATGATACTGTTAATGCCGGTGAACTGTTGAGCCACCATGACTCCGATGACAGCAACGATGGCCGGGCGATAGTATGGGTCTGTCACGGCTTGCAGAATCGTAACTGGAGGCTGTTTAGGCGGCAAGTTGCCGGAAGGAGGGGTGAGCAGGGACTCCTCCTCCGGTCCTGCGGGCCTCTCAGAGCTCTTCCATCCTTCAATCTCCTCTTCAATATCTGCATCCTTCCCACGTATCCTCTGCAGCACCTGTCTGGCCAGGTTCGCCTGTTGATGCTCAGCTAGCCAAGTAGGACTTTCCGGTACGAAGAATAGACCAAGGAGTTCCGAAACCCCGAGAAACCCAGCGACGGCAAGTATGGCCCTCCATTGATCTCCTTTGCTGAGAAAGTACCCGAGCGTCTGAGTAAATAGAATACCTACATTGGTCATAATCTGCGTAAAGGCGCCGAAGAACCCTTTCGCGTTGGGCGGGGCAATTTCGGATATATAAATTGGACCAACGACAATAGCAGCACCCGCACCCACACCACTCAGCAACCTACCGACACTCAAGATCGGTATACTGGGTGCAAATGTTTCCGCTACCGGGCCCAGAATGAAGAAAATCGTTGTAGCTCGCAAGGCGAATAGTCGCCCATGTTTAGTGGAGACGGGCCCTGCCAGCAGGGCACCTAGCAAACCACCAAGGGTGTATATGGAGGACACCAGACCGAATTGGGAAGGGTTCATTGGAATACATTGAGGTAGAGTCTTAAACAATGCTGAAGCGGTAGAATGGATGCTCTTTCGCTCGCAGGTAATAACAGCTTGGGGGGCATTAAGCTCGGCCTGTTTCAGTCCATAGTAAGTAACGGTCAGGAGTCAAGCAACCCAAGAGCTCTTTGCACAAACCAGATGATAACCAAATTGAAGCGGCCCTAGTGTGACAACAAAAATGAGATAGACCAGGTACGCTGTGACCCTGGAACGGGTCAGCCCAGTGGGATTCATAATGCTACTGGTCTGTTGGTCTGTCGGTGAGACTTTTGATCTGACTCATGTAGCTAGATCGAGATACAAGGAGCCACAAGGTAGGAATTTAGTTGATAATATCGAACCATTGTATTATTGAGATCGAAGCTGAAAGTATTCTGACCCTACTACTCCATGCTAAGTAGTAGGTGGTGCGTCGCAGATGACGTTGTAAGGGGCCGTGGGACCTAAGCTTAGACTACTACCGGGATAAGGAAACTCCGTGCTGATCAATGTCATGGACACTGTCTAGCCAAACATGACAGTTTAGCAATAAGTCTACTGTCTAGAGAGGTACAAGGAGAGAAAGCGCATACTTTCAGCCTATGGAGTCGATGAAAATAACTCATCAATGCTATGTCCCGAGACTAGTAGCGCCTTTCAAAATATGTACTCCACAGATGCTGAAGTATAACACGGGAGACCGCAATTTGCCAACAATGACACATGTCAGTATCAGCAATGAAAATGGCCGAAAGACACTACCACTGAATTATGCAGAACAATTCGGACATTCAGCAATAGTCATAAAGAAAGCAAACCCATCGTCGTAAACGCATCTCTCATGGAGCGAGAGTGACTTGGGCGGAAAAAGCAATATGTGCCTGCTGACTAACAAAAGAGGGGGAAGTTCAGGGACAGTCGAGAAAGAGACCCAGATGGATCACTCAATGCATCGTCAACATACTCAACTGCCATTGCTATTTGTCTTTTCAAACCCAACGTCATCATCATTTCTGCATGCAATCGTTTCTAGTAATCGTGGAGACGGGCAGTCAAGAATCCTAATAGTGCACTGTCCATGCCACTACTGCGACCGTGAAAATCGATGAGGAGATCCTAGTACACTACTATATCCACCCCAGTTGAACGGTTACCGAGAGATACTCCGGACCTCCACCTTTCGGGCCCTTTAGCTATTCCACACCAATCTCTCCATCGATGAGTCTGACAAACCAGCCTCCATCATCCGGCCCATTAACTGCATCCTCTCGGTCCGCCGCGGCCAGCGTCAGCCAAAATCTGTCTCTGAAACGGAATTTACAGGCCGCTGTTGATGGTAATACCGGCTAATATCCTATTGTCACCTATTTTACATCCATTTGTTCTCCTTGCCACTCGGCTCTCTTAAGTGTTCATCTTTTCCGTCTTCTACTTTTTTTTATTACCCTTTTGGGTATACTCTCTTGTGCTGCTGTCTTCTGGGAGAGATTTAAGCTTTGTTACAGATGAAAAGATAAAAGGCCTTTGACTGTGGCTGCTGAGCTCCACTGCGGCTTCTTTGTATCTTGCCCATCATGTTTGGAAGAAACTTCCCATTCTTTAACTCCATCGGCGGGTTCTATCCACGTGGTAATCTCCCTCTAAGCTGGTCCCAGTGTCCTGCCTGTCATTATTTGCTGCAGGGCCTTTTCCAATGAGTTCATCAATCTGCTGCGAGACTTTCCTCCATTTGACCTATTTGCCTCCTTTTTATATACCCCTGTTCTTTGCTTTACAGAGGGATCAACTAAAGTTTCAAGCATATATACTATGAACATCCGGGTTTTTTCAACATGCTAACTGTTTGCTTAAAGAAAGTCTAGACTCGAAGAGATCCTCGGGAACTGGGTATACCAGCAAAGTACGGGTCCGGGACAAGTATCACATCGTTGGCTTCATCAGCAGTGGTACTTATGGTCGCGTCTACAAAGCCATCGGAAAGGATGGCCGGAAAGGCGAATATGCGATCAAAAAGTGAGTCATTTCTTTCCCGGTAACTTCTCCTATAGCGGCTGACCAAAGAAGATTCAAGCCCGACAAAGAGGGCGAAATCATCCAGTACACAGGTCTCTCGCAGTCGGCAATCCGAGAGATGGCTTTATGCTCTGAATTAGATCATCCCAACGTAGTGCAATTGGCAGAGATCATCTTGGAAGACAAGTGTATCTTCATGGTATTCGAGTACACTGAGCATGATCTGCTTCAGATCATTCATCACCACACTCAGCCACAAAGACATGCCATTCCAGCACCGATGATCAAGTCGATACTGTTTCAGCTGCTGAATGGCCTCCTATACCTTCATACGAATTGGGTTTTGCATCGAGATTTGAAGCCGGCAAACATTCTAGTGACTTCGAGCGGTGCGGTCCGCATTGGAGACCTTGGCCTCGCGCGTCTATTTTACAAACCGCTCAACTCGCTTTATTCCGGAGACAAGGTTGTCGTCACGATCTGGTATCGTGCTCCGGAGCTACTAATGGGCAGCCGGCATTACACGCCGGCTGTGGACCTTTGGGCAGTTGGATGCATATTTGCGGAACTGCTCTCTCTCCGACCCATCTTCAAAGGGGAAGAAGCTAAGATGGACAGCAAAAAGACAGTGCCATTCCAGCGTAACCAGATGATGAAGATTATCGACATCATGGGCTTGCCCAGAAAGGAAACATGGCCAGGTCTTGTATCGATGCCCGAATTCTCCCAACTCCAGTCGTTAGCGATGTCGAGAGGCTACCTCAACAGACAGTGCAATCTGGAAGGATGGTACCAAAGTTGTCTGAAGAATAACGGGTATTCGCCAGCGTCTGCTGCAGGCACGCCGGGTGCCGAAGGCTTCGATTTGCTATCGCGGCTGCTCGAATACGACCCTACCAAGAGGATATCAGCCCGGGAAGCGTTGGAGCATCCGTATTTCACCACCGGTACTCCAGTCACTGCTAACTGTTTCGCCGGCTACGAGGGTAAATATCCCCATCGCCGAGTCACTCAAGATGACAACGATATCCGCTCCGGCAGTTTACCCGGCACCAAGCGGAGCGGGCTGCCAGACGACAGTCTCATGGGTAGGGCCGCAAAGCGGCTCAAAGAATGATTTGCATATATTTTCTCTTCTGGTATTCGAGCTCAAGCATGTGACTGGCGTTTAGGTTCCTTCTCATAGACCATTTAATGCGTGGATTGGCGTCTATGGGGTTTTCTGATTTCGCAGTTTAAGACATCGTCGATTTGCGCTGAGTTGATCATTGTCTCAGGCGCAATCATTGGCGAATTATTATATATTATAGGAGAACTCGCCTCATTCCAATTACAGCTCGAACCGTGAATGGTAGTAATTAGTCTTAGATTGCGAATGAGATAGGTGCCTTGATGTACAAATTCCATCCATCCCTTCCATCCCATAAGCGCCTCATGAAAGCCCAGTACCATTACCGATTCCCATTCCTATATCCATTTCATTATCGCGTGTCGTAAAATACAATTTAATGTCAAATCCGAGCCGGAAAGCCGACGTAATCTCAGTAACCTGCTAGGAGTCAGCAACATGGCCTGAGGCAATAGACATTCCCGAACGGAACATACCACTTTGTTCTTTCCGACCATCTCCTCCCTCGTCCTTCTCGTTACCGCCATTCCCAGAAGAAGCGGAGGCCTGACCAGCAGCAGCATCCTTGATTGGCTTCTCATCACCACGCAACTTCTCAAAGTAGGCTTTAATATCCTCCGCGCTGACCGCCGTCCCGGACTCCGCAAAGGGCTTCAGGAACTCCTTTACTTTATCACGGAGGTGGTTGTACACCATCGCACCCTCAATAGCCCGGACACGGTCGATGTTACTCAGGGCTGCCTCGCCGCGGTCGTAGAGACTGCCTGTTCCGTTGCTGCCTCCGCCATTGGCTTCGCCATCCTCCGAGAGAGGGGGCTCGTATGTTTCCTCCTCTTCGCGGAGTTGGGTGTACTTGGCAAGGTTGGGGTAACATTCTGGGCAGCGGCAGAAGTGCTCGCGGAAGTTTTCTTTGAGGAAGAGGGAAAATGTTCCGGATGGGGGTGGGTTAGGCAGGGACTCGTGCTTGGGTTTGGGGGGTGCGGGTTGGGTAGTCGCTGGCTCTGATTCTGTGGGGATTTGTTCGCCATCGATCTCTGACTTTGTCCGCTTTGCAGCTGGCTCGGTTGTCTCCTTTGCCTCTGTCGTGTCATCGTCGTCCGCCTTGCGTTTCTTGGTGTTGGTCAACGGATCGGAAGACGCATCCGAAGGCTCTGCTCCTGTATGCTGCTCTTCGGAGCCCTTTGACAGTCCGCCCTCCTTGTAGACTGCTGGAAGGAACCCTGGAGTTCCTGCGTATCGCTTCAACCACGGATTTGATTCGACACACTTGTAACACAAGAATGTTTCGAAGTCATCTTCAGCCGGGAATCCCGGGGGCAGAGGCGTATCCTCATCGTCATTGTCATCCGCCTCATTATTCTGCTTCGCGGCTTCGACATCCACCGTCTTAACTTTTGCTTTCTTATACCAGTTCCTTGGTAAACCGATCAGGCACTCCGGATGCCACCAATCCTCACCACAGCCACCGGTTTCGACTGTACCCAGCCCAAGACATTGAAACATTGTTCCTTTTTCTTCGAAGGCATTGTAGTCCTCGCCACAGCCGCAAAACCTGTTCTGAAAATTGTGGTTGTATTTGTTCTCCGGCGCTGGCTCCTGGGCCCGAACTCCCTTTGCACCGGTCTTGGGGTCATTGCGAAGCGTGCAGGGTAGGCCAGATGACACGCGCGTCGTCCCACAGTCGCAGACAAAGTTTCTTTTACTAAATAGCTCGACTAGTGTATGTTCGCCGTGGCACGCGATAGAGCAGGAATAGCAGATGCCTGCGGAAGTGTGCGGTGCATCTGGCTTATCGGAGGGAGGATTGCATGTGAGACAGGCAAACAGGATCTGTCGGAGGGGTCCTAGAGCTTGTGTGCAAGAATCAAAGGACTAGATGGCGTCAGATGAGGATTGCTCGTTGTCGCATTGGGGAGACCGACTCACATATGGTAGGATCTCGCGGGCGTCGGCCTCGAGACGCATTTGGGATTCGATGAATCTAGATGATATTAAGTGTTAGGGCACCGCGGAATAGTCCTCGGCTTTCTATCAAAAACCGTCATATGATTCAGAAGTAGGCTCCTTACTCTTTAGCGGTTTGCGAGTTTTGAGAGCTGAAGCTCTCTCTCCGCTTGCCTGCATCTTGCCAGTTGGTCTGCTGGTCGGTGGCGGCTGACGGCTCAACCGGTTCAGATGAGCTCATTGTCGCTGTCGGTCTTGGTACTAAGCTAAATGGTCACTGAAACAGGACAATAGGTATATCAAGCAATGTGTTAGGTTGGATGGAGTAGAGTATGCGACCAAGTCCCGATCAAGATCCGACGCGACGCGGGTGAATAATATGTTTGTTCTGTTTGCACCAACCTCTACTGCTTGTACTCTCCAAGAAGCTCAGGATTTCGCGGATGGCTTTGACTACGTGGAAGCAAAGACCCGGGAGATTGTCAGCTGTGGATATGGTCGATAAAACACATCTGCTTCTCCATGTTTTGTTGGTTATGTACTGGTGGTACGAAGTGCAGCCAAGCATCACCGTTCGCTTACACTATGCCTTAAAGCGGCGACGTCCGAATGAGGCAAGAGAATTACCTAAGTAGGACTTAATTGAATCTGACGCGTGGGAGTCGCGCCTTGACGCGTCGTTTACCGCGCAACAGCACCGACACCGCCAAGGATTCTTTCTCCCTTTGCTCCTCTCCCACCACTGTAAGGAAGTGTCTGTCATCCCAGCAACTTCTGTGGACATAGCCAATTCAGTCTGTTTCATTAATATTTGAGCGCCAGGCTGAATATTACACAAAATGAGGTATGTACTTTAGCCTGCTCATTAGCCTAGTTGGCTGAAGAGCACTCGGCTTTTGCTTTTCTTTCAGAGGTCTAATCGTTTCCATGATGCAGTTCACCACTACGACCCAGCACATCTGCTGCCAATCGCGGCTTGGGAAGATTGAACCGACGTAAAAGATCCAGAGAGCCTGATGACGAAGTGTCATCCGTTGCTCCTCCCTCAAGTCGTAAGATTTCATCGCATTGAAAATCAGCAGTGGATGTGTAGATGGCTGATTTTTTCTAGCTCCTCCCTCCTCTCCCCCTATGCTCCCCTTTGATGACGATGACAACGAAAGGGATGAAGAAGCAKAGCTGCTGGGGGACATTGACGATATTGATGAGATGGCTGAGGATGAAGATGGGATCGACCTGTTCGGGGACAACTTCGAGAGAGATTATCGAGACGCTGAAAACGACCGCTATCAAGGCGAATACATCGACGATGATGGAGACCATGAAGAACTTGACATTGCAACTCGTCGGCAGCTGGAAGCTCGCCTGAACCGAAGAGATCGCGAGCTCGAGCGTCGCCGCCGCATGCCCGCGGCTTTCTTGCAAGATGATGATGAAGGTGATATGGACCTTACTCGCCAGCCTCGGCGGCGAAGACACCACTACGATGAGGACCGTGAGGACATCGAAATGGGCGACGACGCCATGGAAGAGCTCTCCCTGGAGGAGTTAGCTGATGTAAAGGCGGCCAACATCACTGATTGGGTGCTGCAGCCACAAGTTCTGCGCTCGATCTATCGAGAATTCAAAGCTTTCCTCACAGAGTTCACCGATCAAGCCGGTCAGTCAGTCTACGGATACAAGATCAAAACTCTTGGTGAGGTGAACTCTGCATCACTTGAGGTCTCCTATGTTCACTTGAGTTCCACAAAGGCCGCTCTTTCTTACTTCCTTGCGAACGAACCAACCGAGGTCCTCAAGGTCTTTGACCAAGTTGCTCTTGATGTCACACTCTTCCACTACCCTCAATATCAGGATATCCACAAGGAGATCCACGTCCGAATCTCGGATCTTCCGATCGTCTACACCTTACGGCAGCTGCGCCAGCAACATCTGAACTGCCTTGTTCGTGTCAGTGGCGTTGTCACCCGCCGGTCCGGCGTCTTCCCGCAATTGAAATATGTCATGTTCATTTGCCAGAAGTGTAATATCACACTGGGACCTTTCCAGCAAGAGGCGAGCGCGGAGGTCAAGATCTCCTACTGTCAAAACTGCCAGTCGAAGGGGCCGTTTACCATCAACTCAGAAAAGACTGTGTACCGGAACTACCAAAAGCTCACGTTGCAAGAATCCCCAGGCTCTGTGCCCGCCGGACGACTGCCGCGTCAGCGTGAAGTCGTCTTACTTGCAGATCTCATCGATTCTGCCAAACCAGGTGACGAGATCGAGGTGACTGGTATCTACCGGAACAGCTACGACGCTCAGCTTAACAACAAGAACGGCTTTCCTGTCTTCGCCACGATCATCGAGGCGAACCATATCGTGAAGTCGCACGACCAGCTGGCTGGTTTCCACTTAACCGAAGAAGATGAGCGCGAGATTCGTGCCTTGTCCAGGGACCCCGATATTGTTGATAAGATCGTGCGATCTATCGCGCCTAGCATTTATGGGCATCAGGACGTGAAGACCGCTGTTGCTCTTTCACTTTTTGGTGGCGTGAGCAAGGAGGCCCAAGGCAAGATGGCCATCCGTGGAGACATCAACGTGCTCCTTCTTGGTGACCCCGGTACAGCTAAATCGCAGGTGCTGAAGTACGTTGAAAAGACTGCCCACCGAGCGGTCTTTGCTACTGGCCAAGGTGCCAGTGCTGTCGGTCTTACAGCCAGCGTGCGTCGCGATCCTTTGACCAGTGAATGGACCCTGGAAGGAGGAGCTCTGGTGCTTGCGGATCGGGGCACATGCCTGATCGATGAGTTCGATAAGATGAACGACCAGGACCGGACTTCGATCCACGAAGCCATGGAACAGCAGACAATTTCTATCTCCAAGGCCGGTATCGTTACCACTTTGCAAGCCCGCTGTGCTGTGGTGGCAGCCGCCAACCCTGTCGGTGGACGCTACAACAGCACAATTCCGTTCTCCCAGAACGTCGAGCTCACAGAGCCCATTCTTTCGCGTTTCGATATTCTCTGCGTCGTGCGGGACATGGTCGACCCAAATGAAGACGAGCGTCTGGCCAACTTCGTCGTCGAGTCTCACCACCGAGCCAACCCCACCCGGCCTCTCCGGGACCAGGATGGCAACTTGATCGATTCGGAGGGCAACCGGATCGATGAGGAAGGTTATCGCCTGGATAAGCACGGCAACCGCCTGCCACCCACTCCCGAAGAGATTGCCAAGCGTGAGGCAGCCCAACGCAAGGCAGAAGAAGAGAAGGAGGGCGAGATTCCCCAGGAGCTCCTGCGGAAGTACATCCTGTACGCGCGCGAGAGATGCCACCCAAAGCTCTACCAGATCGATCAGGACAAGGTCGCGCGGCTCTTCGCCGACATGAGACGCGAGTCTCTGGCCACTGGTGCCTACCCCATCACTGTAAGTGGTTTTTAACGTGCCTTCTTTCCGCCTATCGTGCTAACCACAACCAGGTCCGTCACCTGGAAGCCATCATGCGTATCGCCGAAGCCTTCTGCAAGATGCGCCTGTCCGAGTACTGCTCCGCCCAGGACATCGACCGCGCCATCGCCGTAACGGTCGAGTCCTTCATCGGCAGCCAGAAGATCAGCTGCAAGAAGGCCCTCTCGAGGGCATTCGCCAAGTAAGTCCTTTTCCCCGCGGCTGCACCTCCTCATTCTTCAACAGTTGCAGTGATCTAACCCGTACGAAATAGATACACACTCTCCAGACCCAAACCCCAGTCCAAGCGGCGAGCTGGTATCCCCGCTCCAAACCCATACGCTCTCCGCGCAAGTCAAGCCACAAGGGCGTAGACATAGGCGTAGGCATGGGGATAGCTAATCGTGCTCGTGCTTATGCTCATACTCATGACGATCATGTCTCTTCCTCACTTCGATTTCATTTATTTTCATTATCCCTCACGATCACCACATTGCATAATGCTCGCTTCGCTTCGCTCATGCTTCTTCGGCAAGTCACATGGCTCTATTTGTCGTCTGAAGCTGGATACGCATGGGCTTTATTTTCAACAGGATTGGGTTGGTTATGGAATGGTTCCGGTGTGGGCGTTTTGTTCCGTGTATATTTTCAATACTTGGTTATCAAAATCTGATATAGAAATAAGATTTTTGTCTCTGTCTAGGTTATTTCAGGGGTCTATTTAAATCTGGGTGATAACGAGTACAACGCCTATAGTATGTTGATCTTGCAGAACAAAGTAGTGACATGAATACAGACAAAGTACGTATCAATGTACGCTGTATGATGTATGATTGATCTAGTGAAATGGCATGACCCTCGTGATAGAACGATACACGTGAAGGAGTTTGTGCGTGAAACAGAAAGGTGAGAACCTGTCCGGGCAACGCATATCCGGACCCCAATCCCAACAAACGCCAATCCTTTTGCACCCCACGCAGGCTTCTACTGTGCAGAATGTCCAGCTCACTGTTCACAAGCTTGTACAGATCGTATCTCCATACTGGTGGTAGAAAGCCTCAGCATAATGTTCAGAGGTGTAAATGTCATGGCATGTCAACACGCCAAGCGGCGTCCCCGCTACAATGCGGTACAAACATGTCCGAATATCATCGGCATCACGGCAAGTAAGAGCTTATGATACTCGCTTACTATAAATAGTATCGGTATGGAGAACATCCCGGCGAGTCCGGCACATACGCGTCCAGGCGCCCTTCAATCCATTGCTTCCCGATCGGATTCGTCGGATCGACACAGCCCCTGAAACTAAAGCAGATCAAGGCAAATTTTTCGAGGAGGCGGTTCGAGGTAAGACAACTCAGTCATTGCTGACCCGCCGCTCGGGCCGGGGCTTCCGCAAACTCTTCATTCTGTTGATGAAGCCTCCGCCGCCGCCGCTCTTCCCATCTTCAACCCCGGTATTCGAGCGTTCATTAGTGAATTTTCGTTCCAGGTTCGTGCTCTGTTTGGGGCTGCTGGAAGACCGTGCACGGCCACCTTCAATGCCTGAGCGCGATTCCTCGGCGGTGTTGATCCGAGCGCCTTTCTTCTCCCAAGCGTCATCATAATCTTGGAAGAATGGGTTCTTCTCATTCGCACGAAGCGACCCAGAGTGGCTGGAGCTGAGTGGAGCATTATAGGAGGCTTCGGGGGACGCCATCCGTCCACCTTGCGGCTTGTTGATGCCTCGTAATCTTTGAGCAAGACTCTTTTTTCGCTGAAGGCCTCCATTCTGGGAAAACTGGTTCTCATTCTCGCTCGCGCGACGCTGCATTGCAGCACGACTTGCTGGCGCTCCCTCAAGGAAAGTGCTTGTACCAAGGCCCATACTTTCTGCTCCATGGATAGGTTCAATGCGTGATTTCGGGTCGAAGCTGACGGCCTCCCCGCTTTTTGCAGCACCCGTCGAGCCGTAATCATTGAACCCTTCCTCCATCGTACCATGAAATTGGTCAAGGTTAATATTCTTGTTGACGGGCCCAGAACCTCCCAGCGCCATGTTGGGAGAGTCTTTGGGGAAGGCCTGCATGGGAGCGGTGCGCGATCCTTTGCGGTTGCGGTGAGGATTGCAGGCATCGAAAGGTCCATCGTGATGGAACACTAGTAGTGGACGTATTAGTATCACGTTCTCCGTCCTTTTAATTCGAATTCAGTTCAGTGGGCATAGCTTACTCCCTGTGCCGTAAATACTGGTCACGTCCAGTTTATCGATAATATCCAGCTGGTAGTTGGTCCTCTTAGACCGAGGTTTTCCATCGCGATGACGAGCTTCCCGCTCACGTCGCCGTCTCTCTCGCCGACGCTTCTCTTCATCAGAATCCATAGGCTTCGGTCGGTCCATGATCGAGGACTCTGAGTTGCGCCGGGGCCGTCTTTCACGTTCCCTATCTCGCCTCTGACCCGAGCGACTCGTCGTCTTTGTCGAATTGGGCGGATCGGCGAATATGTCGAAGGGATCCTTCGTTCCCCGGTCTGAACGCTCCTTCGGCGGGCCAGGTGTACGGGAGTTTGACGATGCTGCTGAAAAGCCGCTGTCAGGAGGGGGTGGAGCTGGTCGGTGACCGTTGCTCTGGGGTTGAGAGTTGAGACTGAGGTTCTCCTGCAGGTCAAGGAGCACGAATGGTTAGACAGATCCAGAGAAACCACCAAGAGAATAACATAAACATACGAAGAGCTCCCGTGTGTTGGAGGTCATGTCCTGCTGATCCACAGGTGAGAACAGAGTTCCCACCGGAGCCGACCGAGGAGAAGATAGGCTATCGGTATCGTCGAGGAAAGGGTTCGTAGAGGTCGGTCGCGGCGGTCGGGATCCAGATGTAGCAGAACCGGCAGGAGACAAGGCGCGGTTTCTGAAAGGGTTATTGGAACCTAGGTTGACAGCCAGGCGAGGTGAAATCTGACCGTCTAGTTCACAGAGATTACCGTCAGTAAGACAAATCGTTGGGAGGACAATAGACCCAAAAAAAGGCAGGAAACGCAACGTCTAGATATAGAGAATAATGGAAGGACAGAGCTCTGGAGCCATCAACAGGCCCCGCCAGATATGAAACAACAGAGAAACGCAATGGATCACCGATGACCGAAAAAGGACCAGGATTTTGCGATAATCAAGAAAGTAAAGACCGACGCACCTGCTGGACCTAGCGAAACGCCAGGTGGATGAGGATATGACAGGGTTGGAGGATGCTGATGGGCGTTCATCTTTGCAGCACACGCAATCAAGGTCGAGGAAAGATAGAGATAAACGAGATGATTGGGGAGCTCAAGTCCGTGTTCATAAAACAGGATTTAGGGAGAAGATTAAGGTCGATCAAACGATTGAGAGCGCGCGTAAAGACTGGGGTGTCCCAGCGCCCAGGGTTTGCTGAAACAACGATGTTGGTATCCGCCAGAGGACGGTCAGGGGGTTGAAGTTGATGGAGGAGGAATAGGTCGATACGTAGTTTGATTGGGAGGGACGGAAAGAGGGGCGTTGGTAGATGAATGGGGACAGGATAAAGTGTTGTTAGTCTGCGCTGCGTACGTAGGACGGTAGGAGATCCTTTGCTTTTTCTGAACTCTCCGGTAGAAAGAGCAGATTCGGAGAATTTAGCAAGAGCAGGAGAAAGAAGTGTTTGGACTGGGGAAGAAAAGGAGGAAATAGAAGAAAGAAGAAGGTGAAGGCGGTTGACTAAGGGAATATGCCCCTGGTCTGCGGTTTAAAATTATCAACAACTAAGGTAACCGACTGGCTGGAGGAACGGGCAAAAAAGAGCGTGACTAAGACACAAAAGGAGAAAGGGAGAATATCACTTGACAATAATTATTGGGCAAAAGTAGAGAAGACGACGTGCTCATTGATCGTCGTTAGTTAAGGGGGGGGAGGAAAAGGACGGGAAAGTGGGCGGGTGAGACCCGTGCGGACCAGAGCAAAAGATGAATGATAATGATTGCAATGATAATCAGTACAAAGAGGGGAATTGAATGACCTGTTGAAGAAAAATTAAGAAATAACAGTCAGAACATGTTCTGTCAGATGAATCAATGCAATAACGCCTGAATAAGACACTGTATGACAAAAGAGGGACTAGGAGACTCAACTTGGAGATAAGGGACAACAGCGATTAACCGCGGATCGACGGCGGGATTCCATTCACATTATGATCCAAAGAGAGGTATCCGGTAGATGCTAGATAGCTAGAGTTATCGAACCTCTGTAGTAAATAATATTCTACCTTATATCTGCTTCATCATTGAATATCTACTCCGTATCTACTCCCTTATTACCATTTCTCTAACTATGCCCTCATGCAATGTCAACTTAGCTACTCCTACGTACTCCTCCTGACTTGACTCCACTCTGGCGTACCCCAGAGTATTAGTCCCCTCACTAGTCATTTAGTCGACCATACTGCAGAAGTCAATCACCCAGTGTTCATAATCATCGTTCCATGACATCTTCAAAATATTTCGCTCAACATAAACCTGTAGAATTGATAGAGAAAGCAAAGAAAAGTTGGCGTGAGCTACATACCAGCAACTCCATCGCCGGCCGCCTTCCACCAGGAATGCCACGCGCTCAGGACCAAGGCATGTGGACAACCAATCCAGGGGTGTGACCCTTATCCTCCTACGTACCAGGTGCCACGGTACTCCGTCATCGGAGCTGACTTGATAGCGATAAACTTCCTACAATCTGTACCGAGGGGTAGATAGTTTACTCTAAGGTACCTAGTAACTGACATGGAATGTTTTGGGAATTACGCAGTAACGGTCCCGATTTTCGACCCTGCGCTGATGCAAGGATCCATTCCTATCGTGTTGCTCATACGTCAGGAACGGCTTTCCAGGGAAAACCATCCTGGAATTAAAAAATAGGAATACTCAAGAGGAACTTGTCAAATATCAGGGTTTGGTATTCATCTTTACATCATTTTCTCTTCTATCCCGTCTGAATGTGAGATAGCAGTCTACACCCGACGAAGAGTGTCAGAGCTCCAGGTCAAGTCAATATACACCAAAATAAATACATCTGAAGAAGCCCAATCTCTCCTTAGAAGATAAAGAAGTAAGTCAGAGTAGTTTAAGCTCAACCCGGGCACTTATTTGCCCTTGGGTTTCTTGGTCTGCGCCAATCCAAAGCACTCGGCCATGTTGAAAAAGATATCAATAGAATTGTACACTCCGCCAAACAGTTCCTGGCATGGTCCCTGCGCGAACACAGGCACATCCGTCAGCGAGTGCACGCCCTGGTTGGCGTCCACTGGCAGGGTACCGTTGACCAGGAACCCGGTCACGGCATCCTTGTAGTTGGCGTAGTAGTTGGTCTTGGAGCCGGTGGCAGGGGTGCGAGGGC